GTTACGATGCCTAGAGTACGGAGACCTGTACGATTTCGTCAACTTAGTCAGTTTGATAGGGGCCGTATAGTGGGACTTCGGGAAGCTGGACTTTCTTTCGGGCAATTGCAGTTAGATGTTAGGTGTTGTCAGGCATGGCTTCGAGAAGGCCGTACGCAAAGAGCAAGGGGCACTGGACGCCGCCGTAGAACAACAGACCGTGAAGATCGCCGCCTAAGATTATTGTCCTTAAGGGACCGTTTATCCACTACCAGGTCCATTGCAAATGAATGGTTTGCAGAACACGGAAGACCTATTGGCATGCGAAGTGTTTACCGACGAATGAGAAGTTTTGGCTTGTTTTCTACCGGCCACACTGGGTCCTCCCTGTAACTCGAGAACACCGACGTAATCACCTTGAGTGGTGCAGACAACGGTCACTCTGGGATCAGGAATGGAACAGTATTGTCTTTAGTGACGAGTCTCGATTTTGTTTAGGCATGCACGATGGTCGTGCCAGGGTTAGAAGGCGACGTGGTGAAAGGAGGAATCCACAGTTTTTTTTTGAAAGACATGTTCATCACACTGTTGGAGTTATGGTTTGGGGTGCTATAGCTTATGGTTCCAGGTCACCTTTAATCTTCATCAGAGGTAACATGAACGCGCAGCGTTATATCCACGAAGTTCTAGAACCCCATCTTTTACCCTATCTTGACACCCTGGCAGATCCAACTTTCCAACAAGATAATGCCCGACCACATGTTGCAAGAGTCACAATAGACTTCTTTCAACATAATGATATCACATTGTTACCATGGCCACCAAGATCTCCCGACTTATCCCCAATTGAGCACGTGTGGGATATTATGGGTAGGAGATTGCTCAATTTGCAACGTCCTCCTCAGACTCTAGAAGCACTTCGAGAGGAGTTGGTGGTTGCCTGGAATGAGATACCACAGGAGGACATTGACCACCTGATCAGAAGCATGCCTAGGCGCGTTGGAGAATGCGTAGCACATCAGGGTGCATCCACACATTATTAAAGGTCAAAGGGCTTTAAAGCAGTGCAATCATTTTGAAATTTTTATCATTTACTTATTATGCTTCATTAAGTACTTATACAAAATTTTATTAAAATAAAACCATTTAAACTGGGTGTTCGGATTTATATGTCACTTAGTATATTAATGCAATCTTCATAATTATACATTAACAATCTACAGTAAATATACAACAGATTACGTTATAAACATTTTACTGTAAGATCAATAATTTAGAAGCGACAGGGTATCTTAGTTGATATTTGCATTTTTGGAAATGCAAAAAACCCGACTGCAGCGACTAAAAAAGAATGAATCTTCAATTGTGCTATATAGACGAATCTACCAAAGTTTATCGAGCCTGTAGCTCGTGAAATAGAAATTCCTAAGTTGAAGTTTATTATTATTTTGATTTTTTAGTTCATCTGGACACATCAAGGAGTAGCTCTTCTTTTCAAAACTGCAAGAATTATTTGTTCCGATCCATGATTTCTAATCAATTTTCTAATTTTGAAACGAAATTCTCATAATTATACTGATAGACGTGAATCCAATCAACTACCAAATGGCAACACAGTTCCGACGATAGTTGTGCTTTCAAATGCTCTCTATCAATCTCATTCATTTTATCGTTCCCCATGTGTAGGATTTTAAGTTATTCATAATAAACAAATGGCAAAGCGAATAAAAATGTGGTAGTGTTGTTTTAAAAATAAATTACAGTTAATATAAGCCACCCACTGAAGTCCCTGCCAGCTTTACACATATAAAAACTATTTATATAACGCAGTCTTCAGATCAGTTTGGATGATCCTAAAAATATTTCGCAACGTTAAAGTTCTGTAATGTATTTTTCGTATATTTTATGAATTGAATGAATTCCATTCAATAGTGAAGGTGGAATGAGTAAAACTTCGCATTCTGCACCATCTAGATGGTTGGAGCTATAATCTAGATGTAAACAACACATTCTTAGGAGCCTTCGATGCCAATCACGTTAATTCCACAGTAAATCTTTCTCAATTCAGTTAATATACCAGAATTGGTTAGCCGAAAAATACCCCAATAATTCAAGCTATTGAAAACATCAATAATAAATAGGCGCGGACTTGTGAGCTAAAGAAAAAAGACTAGCAGCGACTTTCTATCTGACGAGAGACCTGGAGGTCACAGTCTTGTAGAGTTTAATGCTTTCAAAACTGAGTACTGTACCTTGACGAACAAAAAGCATCCTAGCGCCCCTCCGATTTCGATGAATGGACGAGTTCTGCCAACGAGCCGTTCATTTCGGCTGGTCGGAGTCCAGATCACCGAGGCCTTGATTGGCATAAACACATCCCGTCACTAGCGGCAGCTGCTAGGCTCTTCGTTTAGGGCTAATAAGTATCGAGTACCTACCTTAGCAGCCACTTGACATAACATAAACAAAGCAGGTGCCTTCGAAGCATCCAAATCAACTGACCATTATCCTTAATATTCATTACCTCATCATACGTGAAGGTGTCGATAACAGATATGTCAAATCTTTTTGATCAAACTGAAATCATATATCTTTGATGTGTTCGATAAACTAAATTAATTTTTTCGCCTCGTTTTATCGTTATTGATTATCAGTAGTAAATAAGTTTTATTCTCAGAAGATTGTTTCATATGAAAAGTAATCAAGATTTTTAACTGAAAACAATCTAACCACTTAAAATGAATTGTAGACCTGGTGGAAAATCTTCTACAAAATGTATCGAGAACATTACTATGACTAAAACTGTGTTACTACAAGCATTAAAAAATCAACCATCAGATAACTAAGACGTGGAAAGTAGACTCAACCCACATGAAGACATTTTTTCTCTGAATATAAAAAATAAAAAATATAAATCACACGGAATGAAGATTTGTTGTTCATTTCGTGGTAGCTACATGATCATTTATAAGATTTATATGTCAAATCCAAGGAGCAACTAAACGAAAGTACTAAAATATATCATCATAATACAGTAGTTCAACCACGGTTGAGTAAACCGCACAGAAGGTACAGGTTTATGGTCTCACAAGAATTATTATGCATCTTATTTATGTTCAACCTGACTGATTTCCTATTAGTATTATTTTCCGAGAAGTGTGGTAATAGACCACAATGACTCATCAGAAATATTTTCTTCGTATTATTTATTTTTCCTTCTAATTTTCGTTGCCGCATTCTTCACCATATATTTTAGTAAAATTAGAATTTCACAATCTATACAGGGTGATTATCTCATACTGACGAACTGGACAAAAATGCCAATATTCAGAACTTTGTGCTTTTGAGAAATAATAAAGTACTAAATTAAAAAGAAAATGTTTTTGACCGTTTAAAATACATATGTTCTAAGACATTCAAATGCAAGAATTTCATAGATGCGATCAACTTGAAATGTGAGTTGCTTTTAGGGCCTAAAACCCCGCTTATAGATCCTGATCCTTTATTTCCTCAGCAAGGCGAAAGCTGTGATCTCACTCTGAACTCATATATTTGTTACTTGATACGCGAAAGTGGCACATCTGCCAGCTAACTAGATGGAATCCTGCTGTCAGTATCCTATACATAACCTACAACGATTTTTTATTTCTATTAAGAGTATAACTTTTTGGTTGTGTTAAGCCGTTTTGTATTGTAGTCGCGAAAAATTTGTATCAATCAGATATATACAGGGTGTAAAGTTAGTAGTGTATCAACGGAAGTCAGGTGATAGATTACCTAAAAACCTATCGAATGAACCCCTATATTTGTGGTCCGAAATTTTATAGTTCAGGAGATATTTGCAATTTTGTGAAATTTCTAAAAAACGGGATAATGAACTTTCAATCGTAATTACAACTAAACCGTTAGGTTTAGGGCTGTGATTTGTTTCTAAATAAGCTAAATGGTTAGTTTTAGCAATGGTTATTTTATTGTAAAAACTATTTCAATCCATGTAGACTAAACCCTGGAAATTTCAGCTTGTTACGATGAGTGTGTCATGTCACATTCGTTGTTGTGATGCGATAAACGTAAGAAACGCAATAGAATCCTTACCACCTACAAGTACAGAACCTATTGTGTTTAGCCGCTCTTTATGGCGAATTACCGACAAATGTGGAAGATAATTTAATTTAATTAATTTTTAAAAATATGTTTGAAATGGCCTCTATTATTTTCGATACACGAGCGACACCTTCTAATAAATTGTCCTTTAGTCTTTAAAATAAATTTGCGTTTTCCATAATTTTAATTTTTGCTTCATCAATTTTCTGGCGCAGTTGGTTGACATTTGTATATTCAGATGTATAGATTATCCCCTCTATCACCTGACTTCCTAACTTTGCACCCTGTATGTGATGTTACACAAATGATGCAAAACCATGTTAGTCATTTTCTCCGGTCGGTCTCTGTCCGCTGATCCTTGGCACCTCTATAACTCGGAACGACCTGCACGGGTATTACGTATCTTGAAAAGTGACAATTAGTTGTTTTTTTTTGACATTGCGTCGGTTTTTTTTTTGACATAACATAGGTTTTTCTACAAGATGTTACCTTAGCAAAAGCTGTTCTACACTTGTTGTGTTTTAATATTCTCACATAATAGCCGTGCTGTTGTCTTCATTTTGAGTCATAAGAAGTGAATGTCATGAGGAAAAAATATATCCAAAATTCGAGCCACTAATCTAAAATTAATCAGAATCTTATAAATTTTGCAATTTATAAATTCATAATGAAGACGTGGGAAGTATAAAGACAATTTTATGTCTAAAATGAAGGTCCAACCTTGAAATCCCAGTATCTCGTATGCTACCTATTGAACAACTTTCGGTTCAGGGAAATTCGTTCTAATAGCTGAAAATGAGGATCAAAGCTTAAAGGAAAATTGAATACGTCGCTGCCCATCCTTTTAACATTCGTCTTGAAGGAAGGCAGATGCTTTAATTGTACATGTATCATTGGATTATGGATGGATTTTGTTTTAGTTACGGTGTCAACGCCACCATGATCGGCGATTCGAAGAAGCTAAGCAGTCCCAGCCTGGTTCGAAAAGCGACCGTGAACCGCAGCCATGGTGATACGCTGCAAAAAGTGCAAGCCCAGGTGTGTCCAGACTTCAACTCGAAGTCCAACTCGTACAACAACTACGGCTACTCGAAATCCCCCTACCACAACAATTCTCATTCGTATTCGTCTTCTCCTGCAAATACGACCCCATCGATGATATTTTCACCAGCAGTGCTCTTAACGCCAAACCCAAGAAGAACCTTAGGTGAGTCAATTTTTTTTTTATACTCCAACTACCACGAAGGCCTAAGGCCTAAACACCCATGGGGTACCGTGGGGCTATGGGGAGATACAGGACTCTGGCGAGGGAACACCTGTGCATGCAACATGCACACATTCTGGCCCCGCCCTCGAGATCCGCCGGGTGATACCTCCGCGTTCGACAGTCAGAGACCGTCTACCACCTACGGAAAATTACAACATCCAATAGCCAAGAGAACATTTTCTCCTGGGATGGGATTCGAACCCGCACAGCGCACGGCGGCTGATCAGGAGACCGAAGAGTCGACTACTGCGGCCACCGCTGCTGCCAATGTTACCATGTACATATTTTTAGCCCTATACTATACGATCTGTAAATGACTGATTTTTTTTAACTTTTTATCCAAATATAATTACAATTTTATATTGTCACCCTCAAAATAACTTCCGTCTGAAGCCACTCAGCGCTGGAGATGGTTCTTCCACTCCTCATACCAGTGCTGAAACTCCGATACTGGAATAGCCTTCAGCTGGTCCGTTACAGCCGTTTGAATGTTTTCGATTGCATCAAAATGAGTTCCATTGAGGTGATTTTTCAGTTTGGAAAGAGAAAAAAGTCGCAAGCACACAAGTCGGGCGGATCAGGAGGCTGAGGAGCCACAGGAATGTTTTTACTGGCTAAAAACTCGTTTATAGACATTGCTGTGTGACAAGGAGCATTATCGTTATACAATACCCAGCAGCTCTTGATCTGATGAATGGTGGTGTGAGCCAAATTTAACTTTTCTCCGATCATTCTGACTGTCAACCGATGATCTGCACAAGATCCCGGATTCAGTCGATATTTTCATCGGTTCTTGAAGAGGAAGGCCTTCCGCTTCGTGGTTCATCTTCAATCGACTCTCTCCTTCTGAAAATGTCTAAACCGCCGAAAGACCTGGGATCTTGACAAAACACTATCTCCGTGGGACTGTTAAAAAGAGTTCCGTTCCGCTGTGCCCAAATTTGAGGCAAAAACCTGATATCACACCGTTGATTTGAAATTGATGCCTCTCATTTTTAGAACACAATAGAAAAAACTGTTTCACGAAAAAAAAATCGCTACTGACAATCAAATGACTCAATCTAGTTCAAACTTGTACTGAAGGCAGATCACCTGTTCACCAGTCTCCCCTACAAGCCCGGCGCCTCCAGTGTTGCCAGATCAAACGATACGTTGCCAGTTTCATCACTTAATTTACAGACATCGTATTTATTGTTTATGGATTTTGAAGTGAAAGTTAAAGTATGCTCCTCAGAAACAACAATAATACATTGGCCATGTAGAGATATAACCTTTATCTAACGTTTTGGTAAAATTAGTATGCCGACCGCATAGAACAGTGTTTCTCAAGGTCCACATGTGGGCGCTGGTGAACTTATGGTGAGCACACAGTGGGGCCGGGCCGGAATTCTAAAACCCCTAAGTTCTGGAAAGCCGACAAGACTAGATTTAAAGGGCTTTATGATCTACCTTATTCGTTATATGCTCCAGTAAAACGACTTTCAAGCTTACTCCACAGTTTTTAGGGTAAATTCAATAAAATAATTAAAATCCGAAATTGTCATACAACGAGCACTTCTGACGCTAACACGTTATTTGAAAAATATGTATATATAAATACTATTTGATTTAGTTGATTTTATGTAACCTTAAAACTTGAATATATGGTATTTTGGACAGTTATTTTGTCGGCAGCCAATTTGAAAGACAATTAAATATGTTGCATGGTACTTTGTAATTTATGAAAAACGTATATAGGATTTCCTAATTAAGCCAGGATGTTTAAACGGAAGACACTACTAAATGCTTTGTATTTTTCCATTTAAGCTTCCACTTTTGTGAAATTGAATTCTACGTTAAGATGGCAGCGGAAGGTCTGAGAAATTTGTATCGAACTGAAGACATCTAAATTCGTGTCAGGTCTGCTAGTTTTACGAACATATTCTCCTTAAATCTGCAAAAGTCCTTGTTTTGGGCTTCTTTTCCTCTTCGCTCAACATGCTACTGGTTAAAGGCTCACGGGAATCATATCCATATTCCATCATAGGGCAACATTTTCATAAACGTGTTTTACCGAAAATCTAAAAAAAAAACATGGAATCTTTGTAAAATAAGTAATAGAAACAATTATGTATGTTACGCGAAATTTTAGGGTAAAAGTACATGAAATGATATTTACGCCGATAATGGCTAAACTAAGAGCCTAAAAGAATAAAGACTACTATGTTTTTGAAGAAAATAAAATTTGTTATGAAAAAGATCTCTTAGGTCTTTTGACAGCTTAATAGTTCTTGAAGCATAAGAAGGGAAAGTTAAAAAATATATCACGGCATACCCTGTACGCGACGTACGTTGTCCACGTTTTCAAGACGGGATAGAATACCTTTTTAATGTGAATCATTTACTGTCACTCGTGAGTATGGATAATGTAATACCTTTGGATAATTTCTAATGCATTCATCACTGTCACTTACTTCCATCAGTCTGTATATTGACCAGTTTCCCTTGCATTATCTACTATATCTCATCTCCTATTAAATCGCTCTAACGGTTACTGAAATTACGCAAAGGCAAAATCGCCAATAGACAGACTGGTAGACTGAGTGACTTAACCTTTCTTCATAATGAAAATATCACAAGTCATCATTTTAGATACTAACACGAGGTAGTAGAAATATGGATTCACATTAAAATGCTATTTTTTAACTTTTCCTCCTTGTACATCAAAAACCAAAAAAAAATAACTGTTGTAATAATTGAAGGATTTCCATATACTCACCCTATTTTTTGGCCTACAACGTCTAAATAATTTTTAGCACTAAATTCATGCTCAAAGTCATCCAAGAAGTAGTAAAAAAAAACACCGAAAAAATGCATCACATCAGTAACTTAATTGCAAAACAGGTTAGGTATTCACAGGCATGTAGATTTACGGAAATGAGTGGTATGGCTTTGTCAAATATCCACAACTCACATGTGTCTGAATAGCATTCCGACTGTATTGCATTTGGAATATCACTCATTTTTTATTTGCAGCAGAGATGAGTACTACAGAGAAGAAACGAAACGGTACGATCCTCTGAAAAGAAGTTTGACAGAAGGTACCATCCAAAGGAACCGAGAGAAAATTTACAAAGACCCAATAGGAACTTATTCGGATACCGAAAGTCTTTCACCACCTGGTCAATTTAGGAACAATACTAGGTCACCTGAGTTCCATGAAACGTAAGTTTGTCTCTCATAACTCCATGATATCCATAATAATCTCTGAATATCTAGGAAAGCTCATGTGGTTTCAATGTCCAAAGCTTCGAACATTTTTTCGCCTTTAGATGTAGACATATCGTTGCAAGTTACAGCTGCAGAAGTCATTCATGTTTGGTCGTGACTCGATCCAATACAAAAATGATATTTGCCTCCTGTTTACGTTCTCCTTCGTGAAAGATACTATATTCCCTATTTTATAGCATGCATAAAAATTCGAAATTATCAAAACCGACCCACAGCGCACCGCCTTTTTCGTTCATGGCTGTACATAAAA